CCGTGATGTCTACAGAAACTTCAGTAACGATTGGCTGGAGAGCACCCTGCTGACGATATTTTTAATGCTGACGAAACTGGTATTTTTTACAAAATGACGCCCGATAAAACTTAAATTACGAAGCAAAAAGTGTGTGTGTGCGGAAAACTTTCTAAAGGACGTATAACAGTGTTAGTAGCTGCCAATATGAGTGGGAGAGAAAAAAGAAAGCTAGTCGTGATTGGCAAATGAACGTTGTATTAAGAACATCAAGCATATGCCGGTCACTTACATTTTTCTGGAAGTAAAAATTACTAAAAAAAAATCAAAATTTTTAAAAAAATACTTGGTAAAATTTGATTGCACCCAATTTGTACTGTTTAAATATGGACACGGATCTTTACTTCTCTGCTAAATTTGAAGTTGATATCTGCAAATTTAGGACACTTAACACATTTCTTATTTAGGACGGAATATCAGGAACACCCTGTACAATAGGTGAAAACCTTAAATACAAAAGTTTTAGCTGTCTATGCGGGCTATATAGCAGTGTAGAAGAAAGTGACATCTGAATCATAGTCTTTCAGTTATAACCAATGTTCAATAATAGGGGGACCCACTTTTCAGTTTTTTTGATTTTGCGGCGCACCCTGTATATTTTAGAAAAATTTTCAGGTATTAAAGTTTATGCAGCCGTATCTTCTGCGTCTTCTGGTACAAGAATTTGTTTTGGTCTTTTGAATGGTTTTTGAAAAATGGATTTTTTGTATACCCTTGCAAACGCGATTTTTATTTTATTAAAAATACTATAGACTCTCGGATTTTCCGTCGGTAGATGGTTTCAGCGAATGCGATAAAATTAAATAAAACTCTGCGCAAATCCGTCAGCTTTCAGCATTTGCATGTATAAAGTACCGAAGTCATTGTGGAATTGCGAATCTATTTATTGAGGGTTGCAAAGAAAAACCCAAGCGAGGTAGTTAAAAACCGGTTTATGTCGTAAAAACAGTACTTCGTACTACTCTACGATGTTCTTAAGAAACTTTCAGATCGTCGCTTCGTCGTAAAACTTCGAACCTGAATCGGAAATCTGACTTCCATCATAACTAAGCGCGAAATCTGAACACCGTCTATGGTTCGTCCTCAGATCGCCGAATGCCGCGAGTCTCAACCTCCGCTGTTTATATTTTTTAGGTTAATGTAATCTCGCGCGCAAGGTCGCCGCCACCTATAAACGAACTACTAAGCTTTTCGATATTTAAACAAGCGCGTTATTAGTCCGCATTAAAATTGTTTACGGCAATGGAAAAACCGCGGTTTCACGTTAAAAAACGATAACATTTTTGCGCTGACAAGTACGATCGCGGATTGTGAATCACGCGAATGCTCCACAGGAAAGGAAAATAAAACGACCACGTACGGAGTTAGTGCGAGACGAAATCTGGCCGCGTCGCGCCGCTTTCCTTCAATTTTTAATTAAAAGGGTTCCCTTCAAGATGCCGTCGAAGATATTTCGTCTAACTTGAACTATGTGCGCGCTTAAAGTTTTGTGTTTAACGCGATTTGGTGAGCGTGTATTTTTGATGATGCAGTAGTGACTGTTGGAAGGCGCCTACTGCACGCTAGTGTCATCTCTTTTGTGTTTCGCGCCCTTTTTTTATTCCATGTGTGCGGAATGGACTAAGATATTATGTCTTGGATTGTCCAAATCTTTGTTAGTGTTGTTTAAATGCATAAGTATAAATTACTATAAACAAATGAGCCGTTCGTTTTGAAAGTAACTTAAGTCCGTTTGTCTTTAATTTGAAATACTTGTGGTTTTGCGTTTTTACAAAATTAAAAATATACGTAAGATATATGGTTGACTTGCAATTTAATTTCATACGTCCTATTAAAAAGTCGCTATTATTAAGTGTATATTATGGCCTTGCTTACCTTAAAAGGACTTGGTCACTTTCAAAATAAAAATTTGTTTTGTTACAAAAAGTGAAAGAGCTTAAGTCCATGACATACTAGGTTAGCGTCAAAATTTCCCGACCTGACATAGATGCAGCTCCAGTATCACGATAATACTTTGTCTTCTTTTAAATATATATCTTAGTAGGCTGCGAAAAAAAAATTGAAGTCTTGCGTCAAATAGTTTTTTATTGACAGCATTTTAAACAAGACGTGCCCGAAAAAATGTCACAAATAACGCAAATTGAGTATAGAGCAGTCATAAAGTTTTTGACAAAAGAAGGGTTAGCACCTAAAATTATTAAAGAAAGGCTGGACGGTGTGTACGGCCAAAGTTCTCCTTCGTATTCTGTAGTGAAAGAATGGGCAAAACGTTTTCGAATGGGACAGGAGTCCCTTGAAGATGATTCAAGAACTGGTCGACCGGTGGAGGTCATAACGGAAGATATTGTTGCGATTGTGGAAGAGGTGGTATTGAGTGACCGCCGTTTAAAGATCAAGGAAATCTCAGGAATTACTAAGCTTTCTGATACAAGTGTTCGTCGAATCCTGCATGATCATTTAGGTATGCATAAGGTTAGTACAAGATGGGTTCCTAAAAACCTTTCGGCTATTCAAAAACAACCCTGTGTTGAGTGCGCGCGGTCTTTTTTTTAACTCTGTGGGTTGGAACCGAAGCCTGTGATAGAAACTATTGTGACAGGAGATGAAACTATAGTTCTCTATTATGACCCTCTATCGAAAAAAGAATCAATGGAGTGGCGTCGTAAGGGTGAAGCACTTCCGAGAAAATTCAGAGTCTGCCAGTCAACAAAATAGGTGATGGCCACGATCTTTTGGGATTGTGAAGAAATTCTTTCGATAGATTTTAAAGAAACTAATACCACTGTCAATGGTAAATATTACGCAACATTATTACATAAATTGCGAGACTGCATACGTGTAAAACGTCGAGGAAAACTGACCAGAGGCGTGCGTCTTTTGCACGATAATGCACCTGTCAATATAGCTGGTGTTGCACAAGCTGCCATTTTAGAGTGTGGGTTCCAACAGATAGGTCATCCTCCATATAGTTCAGATATGGCCCCCAGCGACTATTATTTGTTTGGATATTTGAAAAAGGACTTACGTGAACGTGGGTTTAACGACGAAGTTGAGTTAAAAGAGGCTGTTATAGCTCATTTTGCAGACAAACCAAAAGAATATTTTTTTAAAGGGATTAAGTTGTTAATAAAGAGATGTAATAAGTGTATTGAAGTTAAGGGGGATTATATTGAAAAATAATAAAAAAATGTTTGTTTCTTTGATATTCCAGCCAGTTTATTTTTTCTTTTCGTTGGATCTTTTGTAAACTGCTTCTTCCAAGAGTCATGTTGATATAAAATCCTCTTATTTCATTTCATTTAGTATGAAAGTATTACCTTTTCTACATTTGTTAGTTATATTCTAATAATCTTGTGGCACATACAATAACTTATTTCTATTTCTATTAATTGTTACTTTAAATATGAAATTCTGAAGTTTTTAAATCTGTTAAAGGGTGTAAATATAGACCATTTTTTTCCAAATGTAAACATGTTATTGTTTATTGTTATTGTTAGCAATATTTTTATTCGCATATCTGGAATTTTATATCTTTAAAAGTAGTATCATGTCTTTGCCATTTAATTTTTTTTTTATGCGGGTGTTATCTTAAAACGTCGAATATCTCATAAAGTAAGTAAAATTTAAATATAGGATAAATTACAAACGTACCTTATTTTTGAAATTTGAAAATGTTTATTTTTTTTGTTAATTAAATTCGCCAAATCGTCACCACCTATTTGGTACACCCTGTATAAGCTGAGGCGCATCTGTCAAACTGATTTAGTAGTGCATGATCTCCTTAGTCTCTGCTCAAATTTTCGTTGCAATACTTGGATCAGTAGCGTCTCAACACAATTTTATATGGAGCAATTAAAACATGAAAAAAAAAAAACGCATAACCTCAATTTCTGGCTAAACACTGCAAAATTCGAATAGGAATTTCTTAAGAAAGTGACCTTTATTTTAACCGAAAATTCCAAAAATGTCAAAATATACAGGGTATTCCATTTAAAATACAGTTGATGTCTGGGGGGACACTTTTGGGCTTTCCTGTATCAACAAAATTATAATATTTTCAATCTTCAGGAGAGTCCAAGAAACTTTTATACGAAACTTTTTTTCGTATCTCCCATGGGTTGCCAGATCGTATAGTGGATCGTTTTGTTTGGCACACGTTGTACACTATACCATTATATTGGTGATATAGGTCAATATATATTTAATCGATTTTTACAGTTTTACAATAAATATAAAAATGATTCCAAATATGAATGTTTTTAAGCTTGGTTTCGAGACTACAGCTCGTAATATAGTTAGAAATATGAACCTTACTGTATTAAAGAATACTTATTGAGCTGTTACTCTCATTGTTACTGCCGTATACAGGGCGATTTGAAAAGATGGACCAACCCCTTACCGAGAGATTCTTTGGGCGCAAATGTTATGACAACTTTACCACCCTGTATCTCAATAGTTAAGGCGTTTAGGAAATTTTCTTTTTAAAATGGACCCAAAAATCTGCCCCTTTAATTAGTATAAGCATTAGTTTTTATTTTCTTGATATTAGAATAATTAATGCCTCACTTTTCTGCCAATGCAAAAATTTAGATTTTTGCATAATTATACTTGACAAATTTCTACAAAATGTGTAAAGAACTGTGAGATTTATTTTTTTTTTAAATGTTATTTTTTGAAATGAAGTTTGACGCCTCGTATTATTTTCGCGCAACGAATCCTTCATTAACCATCTTTTCGACTTACTTACGTAATTTTGATGTAAGTATTTATCGGAAGTGTCCGATTTTTAGACCAAACGCGAGTTCTCGCGGAAATAAAAGAAAATCCGCTTGCTGTCGAATATCGTTGGTAATTTTCTATTTTTAAGTGGAGATTTGTTCTTTGGTTTTCGCGATTTTTGACGCTTAAAGCGCTTTAAAATAGACGCTCGAAATTCCGAGGCGTTTGCCAACAAATTAAACTGGGTCGTTTCCTGTGGCCGTCGGATCGCCACCGGTACGTTCGTTTCGTGCGTTTTACATTTTGCATTAACATAAAATAATTATTTTCAGAGATTATCGGCGAGATTGGACTACCTGTCACGTCAATAAAATACACTTCCGTTAGACCCCAATTGACGGAGCCTGCGAAACTTTTATAGAATTTCTTCAGTTCTTATACAGTGTGTCACACAGAAAAAAAATCTCTTATATTCGTTTTACTACAGAAAATCGTTCTGTATAAAAAGTTCCACTTGTTGACAGAATGAATTCACGATAAAAACAAACGCAAAATTCGGAAAATATGAAAATGCTTCAAGAGAGAAGTTGCATTATTTATTTTTGACAATTTTTTTTGAGAAAAATGTTTATAAACTAGTAACAGACTTACTACAAATTTGACAATAAAAATTGAAACATTTTAAAGTAAACTGTTAATAGTTATTGTTTTTAGTTAATTATGGATTTTACGCTTTAATGGCAATCGCGTTTCGAAAATTTTGTACAATGTTACGGTAATGGAAAAGTGCCTTTTTGGTAGATATTAAACACGAAATAACACGCATATTGTTATTATAATACGATTTATTAAAATAACAAAGTGAAATAAAAAAAATTATCGGCAGTGTTTTGATTTATAAGCTTTGATCATTGAACAGAACTGTTCTCATTTAGTACCGGCAAACGCTCAAATCAAGTTTTTTGAGAATTTGCTAAGTTGTTTTTTTAGGAACGAGTTTTCTTTCTCGATCAAGTCCATTTACAAATGTATTGGAGCATTTTGTACAGGGTGGTCTACTTAAGATGCTCATATACCTTATCTCAAAGGTAACTACAAAAAGTCTATGATCGCATATATTTCATTAACGGCATTTTTTATGTGTACAGGGTGTTCCGTTGTGCTAGGATAATAACCAACATTATTTTTTAAAAGGAAATGCAATGAATATTTTAAAAAATTCTAATTATTCGCTTGATTCTGAGTATTTTTTTCATTGCATAGCTTAGGCTTGGCGAAAATATATTGTACAGGGTGGTCGCAAATGACCATAAAAAAAATGTTTCTTCTAAGTGAAAAAGCTCTTTTTTTAATGGAATTTTATTGGGATTGAGTTGTATGCACAGATGGTCCATGGTCTATGGTCTTATGTCTTAAAAATGTATTTAACACTTTTATTGGGTTTTAGATTTGATTCTGTATCTTTTCATATATATAGCTTTTATTACAGCAATAATAAATTTTTGAAGTTATGGCCAGTTTTTTGCAACAATTTGTGTATTTTATTTTCATTCTAACTAAACCTATATAATATCCTATTTTGACTAATTTTTTTTTAAAACATTATTTTTTAATTAATTATAAAATCAACAAATAATGCAATTAAATAAAACTTATTTCTTATTACAAAATGTTTTCTAACCGCCCCTAAACATGTGGTATAGTTTCAAAATCCGCAATAGCATTTCCGACCGCGTCTTAGTTTTATAAGGTATCCACGGAAAAAAATAACGAATAAAATTGTTGGCTGGACGGAAATACACATTTTTTATTTGACATTTAGTTGTTACCAACTTTTTTTTAAAGAAAAACTGGCTTTTTGCATTGTTCAATAGCGCTTAGATGTTCATGAGTGTTACATAAGAAATAATAAGAGTCAAGAGTCCAGTATTAGCCCTAAGTGAATACAGGTTGTTGTATCCTGCAAGACGTGTACCCACGAAATATTTTTTTCACGGATTGATCGTGATTATGAACGTCCTAGCATAAGAGAAGCAATCAGTATTCAGTATTTTGAAAAAAATAATCAAAATTTGCAAAGAGGAAAATAATTGATTTTTTAAAGGGGGCGGTAAATAAGTATATTATGCGGTAAACGGCGTTTTACTCACGAGTGAGATAAAGACTTTACCAAACTTGCTGCGTTCTATACTTTTTCTATGACCGTCACAATTTAACAAATTAAAAAGTTGCCATTAAACCTACTCATTTATCGATCCGATCGATTCTGCTATTGTGGTCTCTTTTTAAAACTGTGTACATTAGACGGAGAAAGATATATTATGTTGTTTATTTAACTTGTACAATTGATCATTAAGAAGTTTATTTAAAGAAAAAGACTGCAATTGGATGGAAAGTCATCCAAAAATAGAGCTTTTAAGAGGATTCAATTTTTAAGATCGTATAAGCAAGAAAAAGCAGATCCTAACCTACAATTTTGTTTTGTTTGTACTGGTGAAACATGGATATTTTAAAATCGTACAATTGATATTGGCAACATATTAATATAAAAACTTTAAAAACCACTTAAACTTAAATTACAAATGTCACGTAGTATTTAAATTGTCTGATATATTGCATAACATTTTTCTGTGTATTAGTTTTTGGGTACATTTTTGCGAAACAACACGAATACATTCACTGGCATGACTGTCAGAATTGACAAACGTCAAAATTCAGGGCGTGCGGTAAAATCCCGGAAATGTCCGCAGTGGCTCGGATCCGTGGGAAACGAAACTGACGTGGTAAAGTGACGCTTCCCGCACGCTAGATCTCTGTGCGACCAGGTATTTTGCAGACGGGAATAGAAAAAAAATAAGTGGCTCAGGAACACCGGGATTTTTTTGTATATCGAAAAATACTATCTAGCTGGTTCCGAGATCTTGTTTGTCTTCCATATTTCGACTTCGAATTCGCTTTAGCAAAAGTTTTATCCTGTTACGTATTCCGCCTTTTATACGTTTGTGGTTTGCATCAGAATTACAAAATCGCGAAGCTGCGCTTGATAATATGCACATGCACGCGAAGCAAACACACCCAACGTTATTGTCGATGCATATGCAAAAGGTATATCCTACACTTATCCGTCCTCTTTGTCGTTACGTCATTGTCGTATCGCATTACTTCTCGATTTCAAGGTTAATACCGTACCCCGGCGCCCAGCCCTGCATCAGATTATCCGCTATTGTCGATACTCGATAAATCTTTGTACGAAAATGGCGAAAAACAAATACCAACGCGATTGTTTTTGTTTAAATAAACTATATCGACCGAACCCAACCTCTACTCATTGTAATACCCGGTTATATCGGCTGTATCACTTTAAACACGCGTTATTGCTATGTTTTTTCATTGGTGGAGTTACGAGGTGGAGTAAATTGGCTGTATTTTCTCGCTAATGGGGAAATGGGTCAGAAAAAGGCATCCTCTAACTGGAACATCGTGTAAAATCTGTTCATAGATATAAGAAAGTGACTGATACGAATTAAGGAATTTAGAATTTAATTATTTGGGGTTTTGTTAGGAAAGATACTAAACATTATTTATTTATTTATGTATGTATTTATGTTTAAATCTAAAATAAAATTGCAAATTATTTTTTATTATGTACTTAAATGACTTAAAATTATTCACATAATATATCAGTATCACTATCGCTATCATCGCCTGTTCTAATTATTATTTGTTCTATATTATTTGCAATATGGATATACGATTGTTCTGCTTTTTCTATATGTTTAACAGAATTTGCCCAACTTTGTGGAAGGATGTTAAAAACTTCGGTTTCCATAAGTTTGAGGACATTGGAGTTAACACGGGGAAAAACATTGTTGCGACGAATGGCACATTTCAGTTGGTGCCAAACATGTTCAGTGGGATTAAATATACAGTGGTAAGGTGGAAGCCTTAAAACTGTATGCCCTAGATTTTTAATTATCACAGACGTATTCCTTTTGTAGGCTCAAGCTTTGTAGAACCTCAATTAATGGCTTTTTCGTATAACCTTCGTGAAAATAAATGTCGTTATTATGCATGTAGTTTTGGATTGTTGCTTTTGGAAGGGGTTTTAGTCAACTGTCTACTGTGATAACTTGCATTGCCCTTTACAATGACGCTATTAGGAGGAATGTTTGGAACTAGTTTGATTTTAAACCAACTTTCAAATAAATCAGCGGTGGTGTCTTCATGGTAATGCAAAGAAGAATCTTTAATATTTTTCGCAGACAGAGAAAGTCCATTTGGAATCCAACCATCAGAGCCAGAATGCAAAATAGTTATCCTTTTACCTCTTTTTCTAGTCGCCATTTCCGAATTCTAAAAGATTCCATTAAAACTTGACTTTTGTCAATTTTTTTAAATCTAAAACCCATGTGTTGAATACACTTCAATAAGTTAGTTCTGCCACATTTAACACCGGTTTTATCTTTTTCAACACACGCTGTATTACACACATTTGGGCGGGAGCATCTCCTGAGATACACTAGAGTCGCACATATTTTGCATAATTCGCACACGATTCAACACACGCTGTATTACACACGAAGTAAGAATGATTGCTAATAAACTTAAGCTAAGTAGTATACCAAACCAAAGAATATTAAACACAGGTCGGTATAAAATTATTTTCTACTACGGACCACAATTTTACCTGAATTTAAATTCCGAAACTTTAGGTAATAATCTTGTTGCATTGTATGTTAATGACCACCCTTGGATAATCCCATTCAAAAGCGATTGGACACTATCTTATATCCATGAACAGACCATACCTTATTTCGAAAAAAAAAAGTTTGAATACAACATTTGTTTCCAGTACAGTCATCTTTAATTTTTGTTGTTTTTTGTATAAAGTTGCGTTTTTTAAACATGGAACACCCTATATTTTATTACATTTTTAATTACCCCTTTAAAAGACGAATCCAATGATGATGTATCCAGGTTCTATTCTAATTAAATGTCAACAATTATGAATATGTGTTCTAAACGTCGTAACTTTTCGGATACAGGGTGGTAAAGTTTTCAAAAATGAAATATATTTTAATATTTGTGATACCACCTTAGATAGTCTAATTAAATTTGGCATTTTTAAATTTTTTTATAATAGAAATCATTGTTACAATCTCCAACGATTTCTAGAGAAATTTAATTTCTTGACTTTTTTCAATCCAATGTATGGTTTTCGCTTTAAAAAAATAAAAATCTGTTTTCTGTATCGTCATAACAATCTCATTACTATGACGGCATGCAGAGAAATTAGTTTTTATTTTTAAGTGAAAACCGGGCGGCGGATTAAAAAAAATTATGAGATCAAATCTAATAAAATATTTATCTAAAACAAAATATCTAGTTTTTAGTTACCAACTAGTGTTTTACTAGATAAATAGTAAACGATTCTTATTAAAAAAAAAAAAAAACACTACCCACTATTAATAATTTTTAACAAAATTGTTTGATAATAAATTAAGAACAATCTTTTTGAAAAACAAATAGAACATAGATAAGTTGTTGAAACAAGAATTTTTTCGGGTGTTATCTTAAACCTCGAATATCTCAAAAAATTAGACAAATTTAAATATAGGATAAATGAAAAACTTACCTTATTTTTTATCCTAGAATTGATATCTGAATAAAAAAATTTGAAATTTGAAAATCTTGAGATTTTGTTAATTGAATTCGCCAAAACGGCACCACCTATTTGGGATACCCTGTAGAAGATGAGGCGCATCTGTCATACTGATTGAGTAGCGAATCATCTCCTTAGTTTGTGGTTAAATTTTCGTTGCAATACCTGGATCAGTAGCGTCATAACACAATTTTATCTGGGCCAATCAAAGTATGAAAAAAAAAACACATAACCTCAATTTCTGCCTAAACTATGAAAAATTCCTATAGGAATTTCTTAAGAAAGGATTTCAAAAATGTCAATATGTACAGAGTGTTCCATTTAAAATAACAATGTTGATGTTGGTGGAGGGATACACCTATAAAAAAAATATATTTTAAATCTTCAGGTGAGTCCAAGAAACTTTTGTACGAAACTTTTTTTTTG